TCAGAGACATCCTTAATTAGAAAACGAGGGAGGACAGCCCTTATTATTTTTGTTAAAATGCATAATTAATACTGCACAATAAAAAAATTTCCTTTTGCATCAGATATCCTTAAAATGAGATTTTTTTTCTGTTCCTACACTTGCGTGGAACTTGAATTTCAAGATGCTTCTTCGTTCTCATTTCAAAGGAGTAAAAGGTCCAGATCGCTCTGATTCAGAATAAATTGGCCCTTGGGTTATAGCATTTCTCTCAGTGAAATTTCCAGTTGTGTGATTTCCCCTCCAAACCTGGTCTTCTCCCAGTCTTCCTTGGCTCAGCAAATGACATCATCATTTATCCAGTTACAAATGTTGGACATCTGGAATTTAACCTTGACTCCTCTTTGTCTCTTACACTGAATCAGGCTTTGTCTCTGCTATGGTCAGGCTCTGTGTCCTTACACAAATCTCACCTTGAATTGTACTCCCATAATTCCCACATGTTGTAGGAGGAACTTGGTGAGAGATAATTGAATCAGGGGGTCAGTTTCCTCCATATTGTTCTCACAGTAGTGAATAAGTCTTATGAGATATGATGGTTTTGTAATGGGTTTCTGCTTTCACTTCTCTCTCATTCTCTCTTTTTACCTGCTGCCATCTGTGTAAGACCTGACATGCTCCTCCTTGCCTTCCACCACGATTGTGAAGCCTCCCCATTAAATCTCTTTCTTTTATAAATTGTCCAGTCTCAGGTGTGCCATTATCTGCAGTGGGGAAACAGACTAATACAATTTCCAACATACATCTGCCTACTCCTTGCCATCTCCCCCACCATAATTAGTAAAATACATAATCTCTCACCTGGATTTCAATTGCAGCCTCCTAACTGGTCTTCTTACTTCAACTTTTGCCATCTCCCAAATATTCTCCATAAAGTTTTGAGAATAATTATATCCATTATACTTGCTAATTATAACCTATTATACTTAGGATCAAGCCCAAAGTCTTTAATGTTGGTATCAAGGCCTTATGTACATTGGCCTCGTATTGCTCAACTTTCCCTTTGTTCAATATGCTTCAGTTATACTATCTTTTGGTTTCTAGAACACAACAAGCTCGTTTTCACCTCAGAACTTTTGCTCGTTACCTTTATCTAGAATGGTCTACCTTTACTTCTGATTTCTTCTTATTCATCAGATCTCAGCTTAAATGCCAACTTTTCAGAAAGATATTTTGTAATGAGATTTAAAACATCCTTCTCCTTTCCATGTTTTTGATACCATAGTACAGGTATTGATCAACTTATGACCTATGCAACTTATGACCATTTGACTTTATGACCACAATTGCCAGCCACGACTGCTCTGCGTCTGGCAGCGCAAATGTTGCCCAGCTGAGCATACGACAGTGCGGACCAGCTTCCGGCAGCACTACCATCTCTGCGTGCACCATTTCAACTGTTATCCCAGACTTGGTACAGCAATTTGTGTTTTGTGTCTTGGATATTTTTCATCAAACCCCTCCCAATAAACTTCTTATACATTTCAAAGCAATGGACCCAAACATCG